AATATTTTTTTCACAAATGTTATACTTTTTTACTGTATTTATATTAGGTGTATCTAAAAATTAAAAAAAAATCAGTGAAAATAATTTTTTTTTTTTTTATAGAAAATAATTTTTTCTAATTTTTTAAAAAGTAAATCCTTAAAACCCAAACCAAATATCTCTCACTAGTTCCTTCACCTTATTTATGTATCCAATTAAGTTCCTTTTATGCAAAATAGTAGCATATATATTGACTAGCATTAGGCCCATTGGGATTAATTTGATTAGCATAATATAATTTTGCTGCAAAAATCTAAATTAAATAGTGACAATATTACACAAGTCGCAAGATCGAAAATCCGCTATGCTCGTAATCATCTCTTGCGCCACAGGTGACAATTATCCAAAATTTAATTTAATTTATGTGCAAAATATTGGTTTTTGGGAGTAAATCTACAAAGATTTCTCTCAACCGAACAACCTTCCACTGACTATGGCATGTCAAAGCATGATAAATTCCATACAATAGCATCTTAATGTAAATATACGAATAACTCATGCTATATTCAATTAATAATGGAATTCAAATAAATAAATAAATAACTAATCATGCTTTTCTAATTACAACATATTAGAAATTCAAAAAAAATAATATGCTGTCTTAAATATTCAAATTATGCCATAACAGAAAGTACATCATCTTGAAATTTTCTGAAATTTTTCTGGAATTTTAAATAACTAATAAACACATATAAAATTAGAAATAAATATTCCAGAATCTGGTAAAATGCTACAATTATACCAGTAAATATTAAACCATAACAGTAGTTTACAATAAAAAATTCAGCCCCAGAAACTTAATCATGCAACACCAGATGCATTTTAAACTAGAAATAATGAATTATTTTTTCAAGAAAAATATTTTTTATTTTTATAAAATTTTAAAAATTTTACAGAAGATAAAAAATTTAATTCTGAGTCTAACGGTACCAACCATGCTTAAAACAAAGCTATAACGAAAAAATTATGGCCAATTAACGCAATTCAGAATTAAAAACAAACAAACAAAGCCTTAGAGCCAAGCCAGCGCGGAAAAAATGGCTCAGCTCGGCTCGCCGCCGCTCAGCGCAACTCAGCGCAAGTCGGCTCAACGCGGCGCAGCGCATGGCGCGCGCGTGGCTGCGCACGTGGCGCGGCTCAAAACGGCACGGCTAACGCGCGCGCGTGGAAGGGAGGAGACAGCTCGCGCATGTGGGCACGTAGGAAACGCGCCTAGCGCGTCTCAGCGCGTGAAAGCACGTGGTGGCTCGTGGCGCTGCTGGGAGGCGTCATACAGCGCGTGAATCACACGCGCCGCCTTCCCGGGTGTTTTCTGGTCCGATTTTTGTACTGTCGGACTCCATTTTTCACAATAAAAACATTTATGGCATTAAAAATGACATTTAAATAACATAAAAAAGAGGTATATCACTCTCTCAATCTAATGGAGTTAAAATGTAAAAAATCGTGCACTTCATCTTCCTCCTCCATTAATATTCATGCATATACATGTATATATATTTATATAAAAAATATACACATATTTTAATGCATGAAATAAGCACGAAAATACCCATATTTATGGCTCTGATACTAATGTAAATCAAAGTATAAAGAATGCAGCGGAAAAAATATTTAGATCATACCTTTAGATGATAAAACCTCGTGGGTAAATCACGTGCTTCCAGAATCTGATAAACCAACTCAGCAGTGAAGTGATATTACAGAATGAATATCACCCACACAAATCACAGTGCAAATGACTTGATCGTTGTTTTTGGGAGAGAGTCAGTATATAGGTAAAACTCAAACATACGTTATTTTTCCACTTAATCACCCATATCCCATATATCAGATATATAATCTATTTATCTCATTTATCCATATTTGTTGAATGAGATAATATATGATATCTATATCATCTATCCATATCATGATATGATAGATATATATCCTGAGTGGCTATCCAAATAGGTTTGAATTCAAATTCAAAACCCATTTGGATAAGGTTCAAAAGGTTCTAAGGGTCATGCCACATGGGCGCCCAATTTCTAACACTAACATATTACGCATCATGCTAATCAGGTTCTTTAGTGAAGAGACTAAACATTGGACACCAAACTATCATCCTCATCGTCCAACAACCTCTCACGCCTGGAATTCTTGAGGAAAGGAGTGCCGGCATTCTCGCTTCCATTAATTTTCTCTCCTAATTCAGGTCGATGGCTGCCACAGCCCAGCAGGATCTGCAGAACCTCCTTCATGCTAGGCCTAGTTGAGGGACACCTGCCCGTGCAAACGATCCCGAGCTTGAAGACACAAGTCATTTCATCCAGGTAACAAGGTTCTTTCATCTCCTCGTCCAAGGCATCAACTAAGGGGTTTCCGTCTTGAATGTGGTGCCATGCCCATTCGGCAAGGCAAGTATCTTCATCCCCATTGTTGTTGGCTTCCCTTCCAGTAACTAGTTCCAGAAGGACCACACCAAAGCCATACACATCGATCTTCTCGTTCGCTCTTGTTGTGTGAGCATACTCTGAAACTCAAATTCATAGTTTAGAATTCGACAAAATGGTTATGAAATAGTAATACTTATATCAAGGAACCCTTTCATGTGTACCTTATGAACCTTGTTATACATTTTTTAATGCATTTTTGTGGCAAATGCTACGTAATCTTTTGGTAATATTACGACAATTTAATATTCAGAAATGAAGTTACGCATTTTTTCATTGAAACATTTATGAGCCACAAGTTGCCGTAACCACAGATATTTATGTTAATGATAGCATATTTCATTTCTAAACTACAAATTTTCATAACTCTATCAGAAGATGAGATAATATCAGTTACAAAAATTTGTAATATGTATCAAAAAAAATGCGCAACAACCAAAGGGTTTTCCACGAGTCAAAAAAAAAAACCAAAGGGTTTTCGCTAATATGAGGAGTATTGCATAAATCACTTACCTGGTGGCAAGTACCCAACAGAACCAGCCACAACTGACATTGTATTAGTCTCTCCATGCTTGACTACCATCTTGGCTAGACCAAAATCTGCAACCTTTGCATTGAAGCTAGAATCCAACAAGATATTGCTTGATTTCACGTCTCGGTGAATTACTGCAGGTGAGCATTCATGGTGCATGTAGCACAGTCCCCGGGCAGTTCCCACTGCAATTTGAAGCCGCTTAGGCCAGTCCAAGACAGCATGATGGGCTGGACCTGAGACACTGAACTGCCGGTTCTTCCCATGGAGCCACCGGTCCAGGCTGCTATTTTCCATATACTCATAGACGAGGAGTTTTGTAGTCTCACTTGAAATGCAGCACAACAATTTCACTATGTTGCAATGGCGAATCGTGCCCAGAATTTGAACATCTGCTAGGAATTCCTTCTCGACCTTCTGTTTTCTTGATAGCGACAACTCTGCCCCAACGGTTCAAAACTACACGGTACACTTTCCCTGAACCACCAGATCCGATCATGTTGCTTTCAGTCAAACTCGATAGAATGTCTGACTCTGAGAAATTCAATGATTGAAATTGAGTGAACTCCCACTTGGAATCCAATCCACGCTCTCTTTTCCAATAAGTTTTGACCACGCCGAACATGAACCACTACAACAAAAAAGGTCTATGGTGACAAAAACGCGTGACGAAAAAATAGTTCGTCTCCAAATATACATGTTTTAGTGATGAAAATAAGATTTCGCCTCCAATTGTACTATTTTTAGAGACGAAAACCAAATTTCGTCACCAAATGCTTAAAATCAAATAAAACAATAGGTGACGAAAATTTTATTCGTCTCTAAATTTTATTTTTCGTCACAAAACAATTTCCCGCCCTTGGAAAATTTGGTGGAAGATTTGGCGCCATTTTGGAGATGAAATTTGTCGTCACCATTGTAAAAAAATTTAGAGAGGAAATAATTTCGTCTCCAAATGTATTATTTTTAGAGAGGAAAACCAAATTTCGTCACCAAATGCTTAAAATCAAATAAAACAATAGGTGACGAAAATTTTATTCGTCTCTAAATTTTATTGTGTGTGATGTATGTCTTCCAACCCCACGTTTTTCTCCTTTTTATTTACCAGCTTATGATGGTTAGTTTAGGACATGTTTCAATTAAGCACAAAAGGTGATCCTTCAATCAAGTAGCTGATTACTTCATGTTTCAAGTAAAATATTAACAGTGTCATGAATTCTCAAGCAGAATAGAAAGTAGCACAATTAAGGGAAAAAAGGGATGGCTTGTCAATGAAGTAAACTGGTTTATATATAATGCAACTAACAAAAAGGCACCAATGGCAACAATGGGATACTGAGTAAATTTAGATTTAGAATAACTTATGAATTATGAAATAACAATGGTAGGATTTTGATGAAATGTAACACGAGGCCAATTCACTTGCAATTTTGGTTCTCAATGGTAAATAACTGAAACGGTGGAGCAAAAACCCAGTTCTAACCAGCCTTTTCTTCAACCATGGAAGAGAGTGTGTGATGATGTGAGAGGAGGGAGGAAAGAGAGAAAGAAATAGGGAGAGAAGAGAGGGAGTATGCATGATGTGAGAAAAGAAAGAAAGGGAAGAAAAAGTGTGTGATATGTGAGAGGATAAAAAAGAAGGGGGAAGAAAGTGGGAGATAGATTCTCTACTGATAGGTTTTTTTTTTTCCCCTAGTCACCACGGTTCTATAATTTTCCCTTGCTCCTTTTCATTTTTAGTAAAGTGTACCTTGTACAAGTTATGTTCATATTACTACTACAAGGTATACAGGTAGAGGGAAAGTCTTTAAAAAATAATAATAAATAATAATTACCAAAAAAAGACATCACTACAACAAATTTGGGATTTAAAGACGAAACAAATTTGTTCCAAAATGTATATATTTCGTCACCCAAACTAATTATGACGAACATTTTTTGTCACCTGTTTTGTCGCCAAAGCATTGTCGCTAAAAGGTCTTAGAGACAAAAAACAAATTCGTCATTGAAAATTTTAAATTTGTGACGAATTTTTTTTGTCTCCAATACACTTTGTTGGGAACATACTTGTAAGTAATTAGCGACAAAATATTTTGTCATTAAAGGAGAAATTAGAGACAAAAGTATTTTGTCATAAATATAAGAAATAGAGATGAAATAATTTTGTCACGTTTAATATAAACGAAGACAAAAAAAAATTTGTCAACCAATAGAGACAAAAACAAATTCATCATTAAAAATGATAAATTTGTGACGAATTTTTTTGTCTCCAATACATTCTGTTGGGAACATACTTAGAAGTAATTAGCGACAAAATATTTTGTCATTTGAAGAGAAATTAGAGACAAAAGTATTTTGTCATAAAAATAAGAAATGGAGACAAAATAATTTTGTCATTTTTTAATATAAACGAAGACGAAAATTTTTTGTCAAAGAAGCTACCAATAGAGACAAAAATAAATTCGTCATTAAAAATAATGAAATAATGTCAAAAAATTCGTCACACATTGAGAGTAATAGTGACAAAATGTGACAATATTTTTTGTCACGACAAATTCATTTAGCGACGAAATAAAGAATTCATGACAAAATTAATCATCCACCTAAGCTAAATAAGAGACAAAAAAAAAGACCTTCTTTAGGGGTGAAAAATTGTCAATAATTCCATAATATTTTTTTCCATATTATATACCTATTTTATCAAAATCTAAATTTTAGTTCAACAAATATGACCCTGTTCATGTTGAAACCTGTTGAATATAACAATTCCATCACAACTTAATCTAACCTATTATCAACACATTTACGAATTAACAAAATGAAGATATCCATTCATCATTACAAATAATTTCATCCTAATACAATAAAATAGTGAAATATCCACAAAATATCCAAAAGTTATAACTTGTTCAATTCCACCAAAAATCCAACAATAACTAGTGCAACTCCAAAAAATATGTGTATCCTTATCAAACAAAAATGAACATTCAAGCAAATTACATCATTGTTGCACGTCAAAAATGCCACTCTAATCCAATCTGCAAAAAAATAAATTAAAAGTTTTAGTAATTAATCAATTATACAAAAGATTAAAAACATTAGTAACTCACCAATTTACAATTAGATCAATTTTACAATTTATCCCTGTAACAGACTTTTTTTGAGATTATGAGAACAAAAAATTAATTTTAAGGCTAATTCACAAATGGTGCATCCCATTAATGTGTCGTAAGTTCATACAACTTATATTGGTCCTCTTTCTTTTTTTGGGAATGGAATCTGTGTTTTTGGAATTAAATCTGTTGTTGAATTTGTGAGAATTGGAAATTGAATCTGTGTGTTTGTTTGGAATTAAATCTGATTTTTTTTTGTAACAACAGATTTGTGAGAAGTGAAAATTGAATTCGTGTTTATGAAAACAAATCTCTTAAGAGAAGCACCAGGTTAATATTGCAGAAACAGCAAAATCAAAGCCAATCAACAGTTAGGACTCTCACTGACAAATCTTCTCAATCTAATCCTAGTTGCATAAAGTCTAATAAAAGTTCAATTTCAATATCTGAAATATTTCACTGCTTTGCCTTTGTATTACCAAGTTAGTAAAAAAAATATATGAAACCATTTGAAGCATAAAACAACCATCGTAAGTGAGTGGTAAGTCTCCCAAACACACAACAACACAACTCTCAAATGAGCCATACCAACAAGCACAACAAGTTAACAATCATCCAAGTAGACAAATTACTACATCTAAAAGAACAACAAGGTCTTTAACACTCAATCCCTGGGATGCAAAAATTGTTTTGAGGAGAGTGATGTTGCCAAAGTTCTATGATGAACTTGTGTTGTAATGTATGACAACATTATTGGAATATATATTCTAACTAACAACATCAAATTTCCAAGAGCCTTGCAAAATATGTTTTGCCAATGCACATAAACATGAAATTTTAGAACTAATGGAATCAAGCCATATTTTACTTCAAAATAAGATAATTTTCTTTTATGTACTTGTGAATCTCCATAGCATAAACAGTTACCCCATCATGAAATTATGTTTGAATTCATCATTATGCACAGAGGGAGAAAATATGGAACTCGGAACTTATGCACGAGTTTAGGCATTTTCCTACTCTATCTCCGACCAAACCAATTTCCAAGGTCCGCTTTTTGTTCCTAATCTGGGATTCAGAAAAGATTAAAAAAAAAAACAAAAGAAGAAGAAGAAGAAGAAGAAGAAGAAGAAGAAGAAAAGGAAAAGAAAAAAAAACACTTTTATCATTGAAAAAGGTTAGATGCATTATGTTAAAAGCATCCAAATTTAGGGCAAATTTTTCAACCCAAAAAGTAAACCAATCAACTTAGACATTCATACATGAAAAACTAAAGAAAAATCATCAGTTGAGGGAAAACCAATCCTTTTTTTATGGTCATGTCACATGGACAGTGGCAGCACATGGGTAAGACAACCAGTGTGGTTTCTTCACCTGGGCAGCAAGGACACAATGTTGCAGCAACACAGCCATGTATAAGAAAAAGCATAAGAAAGGAATAGAAGATGCTTCTTACCTCAATAGAAAGGAACATACTCTTCTAGCTCCCCCCAAATAGGGGCCTATGAGCCCACCTACAGCCCCAGCTGTGGCTGTAGTAGACTGAACCAGATTTTTTTCAGCTTCTGATGGTTTAACCATTACTGGCTAACCAAGAAGAGGCTGGCTAGAGAGTGCTATTGCCATAGGGACTGGCATTGCATCAAAAAATTCAATATAACTGCAAAGAAGCTGCATTAGCATCTAGATGGTACTAAGAAGGGAAATGGACATTGATTAGATGTGAAAGTGAATACAATAATAAGATTAACAAATGATACTGCCCAGTCTAAACATATTTTTTTCCTTTTTTGGAGGTGGGTGGGGAATATATTATTAACCACACCATCAAACCCACTAACTTGCAGGGGATACAACAAGCAATAAATGGAATGGACCATTATGACTTATAGAATATACCAGCAGTATACAATTTAATGAACTCGAATCGTACAATCAAACACTCTCTAATTGTTATTGATCAAATATCTATTAATGCGTGGAAGCACTAGGGAAAGTAAACAACTTCCACTAATAAATGAAATATGAGACATCAAAGCAAATACCATCCTTCACCAAAAAAAAAAATGTCCTTCAGTTTTTTTCCACAATATTCACCCTTAATATTTTAAAATCACTAGAATAATACAAATCCATTAATAGCTACGCAATGTTTAAAACATTTCTCCATTACCGAAACCAAATTTTAACCAATGCAATTTCATGAAGCCCATCCCCAAAACCAAAAAAAAAAAACTTGGCGAGTTTACATTGTGTGGGGGAGGAGGGTGAAAGAGAAGGGCAGGGGGTCATCATCTATCTTACAAAGCATTGGACTTGGCCTTACTGCAATTTTGTTAGCCCATAATTACTTGTCAATTTAGCATGTAGACTTTTTCAATATGATTAGTGTGCCTTTTGCTCTGTCATCTTCACTTGTTGATAACAGCCTTAGTTGTTAAAAGAAGTGTAGACTTCTATCTTTGACCTCATTACGAGATGACAAACCTCCACTAATGATAGAATTAAAATAGTTATAGCATAATAAAAAATTAAATTGAGATAATTTTTTGGCTATGGAAAGAAAAATTGAACTTACCCAACTCTCTTGGAATGACTTGAATTGCGGTCCATTATAAGGCGTACATCTCAGACATGGAACTGTAATTCAACGGTATTAGAAATACTCAACACAAATAATTAGTTCATCATCAAACGTAATATACCATCACATATTACGTTATAGCCCCACAGTGAGTAGCCTAAGAAGCACGAAACTTAGGAAGTGGATACATCATACATGACAGTATTGACACGGTAGAAAGTGGATACATCATACATGATTTACATTAACACTCTGACTAGCCATACTTGAAAATGACATAAAGGGGTAAAAAAGTGCAAGTAACCATGATAGACTACAATGCTTAGTACATACTGCAATGATGCATCAAGGCTAACTGAAAATTCATTTTCAAAGATAAATCCAAGTGACAGTATTGGAGAGCAAAGTAATGATTGTTGGGCCCCTTTCCTGAGGTCTTAAATTTTCTGGACTACTGGTGTTTGTCTAATAAGGTGTCAAACCACAGGTTAATAAAGGTCTTAGGTTCAAGTTCTATATATGCATTTGTTTCCTTGTTGGCATTTTGCTTCTCCACATGTTAGGATGTTTTCATCTCCACATGCAAGACAGGATTGCATATGATGAGGGTGTCGGAGAGCTCAATATGCATTGTTGGGCCTCTTTCCACACAACTTGACCTTTTGGGATTAGTGGCGATCTAACAAAAGTAACATATAAGGTTGAATTCATCAATAAGCTAGGTGTTATATGAGCAGTCCCTCGAAAAGTTAGATATCATAATAAGTTGATAGCATGCATTATGAGATACAAATAAAAAATAAAATCAAAACTATAAAATATAAAAATTATAAAATTATAAAATTATAATCCGTAAATCACTTAAATATACTAAACAATTCAAACATTCTGAATTCCATAATTTCATTCATATTTCTTATGCTAATGAAATAAAAGAAAAACATTTACCTTAATAATCACTTGATTTCAAGAATCAGGGCCTAAAATGAATAGATGAGAGTAGAATCCAATCTTTGTTGAACAAATCTAACCTAAAACAGAGTAGATAATTACACATACACCAGATTAGCAGAGCAGAATAGCATATATAGCAGATACACCAGAACAGAGAACAACAACAAACTGTTGAGCTAAAATTTCCAAGAAGAACCTTTAGAAGCATGGACTAGAATAACAATTAAAGATTTCTTCTTTTCCAATTCAAGAAGTGTGTTTAAGCAAAAATACAAAAGAATCAAGTTCCAACATTTCAATTGACGATGATGAGGGGGAAAAACTTTAAATTAAGAGAGAGAACCAAATTTACTTGTCCGGAAAAGCAGCAGAGTTGAAAGGGCACATATGACTAACCTCTTTCAAATTTACATTGTTGGAGAGTAATTTCTTGTTACTACTGTACATGACAGTTGGCTTATCTAATGCAGCAAATACATGTGTTGTATTCTTTGATGAGAAAGTGCAGAGTGTTATAGGCTAGGTCCCAAGGGGCAAGATAAAGGACAAAACCTGTGTTTCTAGCTCAGTCAAATGGGCTTGTTTTCTTCTTCTAGAGTGTCTAGCTAATTCTCTATTAGAAAGCATTCTGAAAAACACACAACAACGAGTATTCTAGGAAGAGAAGCAAAGAGAATGTACACATGCATAAATACTCGGCTAAAAGGTGATAAAAAAGAAACTAGTATGCTGATCAACCTGTGCAGAATTACACTATTTAATAAACTCTCCGTCTCCAAGCAAAATAAATAAATAAATAAACTCTGTTGGAACAATCTAACTACCAATTTTTGTCTTTGTGTGCTTTCATCAGTCCAGTGATTTCAAAAGTAATGTAATGTAGCTCAAGGTTTTAAAAGGGGCAAGGCAAGTTCAAGATTTGTCGAAACATGAAACTTTCTTAGGTCTCATCAATCCAGTATATACAATCCTAATTGAGGTGCCTAATTGATGTATAATATTCAAATATACGACATATAATAAATATATAAAAACAAGTAATCTATGTCACTTTTAACGTCCACAATTTACAAGAATAGCTAATATATAAAATTCAATAGTATGAATCATGAAACTATTAAAACTAAAATTGCAAAAAAAAAAAAAAAAATACATATCTATACTATTATATAAAGCGCACAACTCTTTGAAACTTTGTCACGAGTTTTTCTATGCCTAGAATACCCTGTCAAATCTCACTGCTTCAAGCTTGGTAACTGCCATAAGCTTGGTAACTGCCATGATTGATCTAATGGCTTCACACACACACGTGGCATGGGCAGTCACTGCCTGTTACGGCTGAATTTCACAAGTGTAACATGTCCAACTTCCGAAAAATTAGAAGCTTGGATCGTCTAATTTTTTATGATGTTAGAAGAAGAAAAGACTTACATTTGATAGTAAAGATAAATTTATAGCCACTCATGTGGATAGGAGATAGAAATCCCCTTTTTCCCCTGAATCCCAATTCCTATTTGATTTCAAATACATTTCTAAATAATTAATATCATATTAAGTCAAAATATTATACAATATGTAATATATTTAAATGTTCAAGACATGTTCATGTAACATAGAATTTGGATACATATCCCTATATCCTAATATTTAGAGTTAGGGTGGTCTAATGCTTAGGCACAAGCCCGACACTTGTACCTGAGTCCATGTGATATAGCATTTTCCCATAGTTCATCAAAAAAATTAGGGAAAATTACATATACCTCCCTCGAGATTTATCTAAATTATAGATACCCCCTGAGGTTTCAGAAATTACAGATACCCCCCTGAGGTTTATATTTTCATAACAAATTGCCCCCTGAGGTTTATATTTTCATAACAAATTGCCCCCTGAGGTTTATATTTTCATAACAAATTGCCCCCTGAGGTTTATATTTTCATAACAAATTGCCCCCTGAGGTTTATATTTTCATAACAAATTGCCCCCTGAGGTTTATATTTTCATAACAAATTGCCCCCTGAGGTTTATATTTTCATAACAAATTGCCCCCTGAGGTTTATATTTTCATAACAAATTGCCCCCTGAGGTTTATATTTTCATAACAAATTGCCCCCTGAGGTTTATATTTTCATAACAAATTGCCCCCTGAGGTTTATATTTTCATAACAAATTGCCCCCTGAGGTTTATATTTTCATAACAAATTGCCCCCTGAGGTTTATATTTTCATAACAAATTGCCCCCTGAGGTTTATATTTTCATAACAAATTGCCCCCTGAGGTTTATATTTTCATAACAAATTGCCCCCTGAGGTTTATATTTTCATAACAAATTGCCCCCTGAGGTTTATATTTTCATAACAAATTGCCCCCTGAGGTTTATATTTTCATAACAAATTGCCCCCTGAGGTTTATATTTTCATAACAAATTGCCCCCTGAGGTTTATATTTTCATAACAAATTGCCCCCTGAGGTTTATATTTTCATAACAAATTGCCCCCTGAGGTTTATATTTTCATAACAAATTGCCCCCTGAGGTTTATATTTTCATAACAAATTGCCCCCTGAGGTTTATATTTTCATAACAAATTGCCCCCTGAGGTTTATATTTTCATAACAAATTGCCCCCTGAGGTTTATATTTTCATAACAAATTGCCCCCTGAGGTTTATATTTTCATAACAAATTGCCCCCTGAGGTTTATATTTTCATAACAAATTGCCCCCTGAGGTTTATATTTTCATAACAAATTAG